TTTTTCTTCTGAGTTTAAATACAATTTTAAAATTCACATTCAATAAACCACATATATATAACAGTGCCAAGACATTCAGACATCATGCTGTGTTGCCAACATTTATGAGTGACTGGAATATATCATTTTTTATTATTTCAGCTTTTTTCTCTGTCAAAACTGTCAAAAATTCTATTACTAGTAATAATTGTAACGTGTACCGAGCGACTATGCAACGAATATGTTTATGTTATAATAATTTTTTTTCTTTGGGTTACAAATGATTATGAAATGATCGTTTTTCTCAATCAACTTGAATTAATCATTAAGGATTCATTAAATACACTCTAGAATGCTCAGTGGGCCACTTTATATTTTTAAAGGAACTCCACCGAGGTCCAAAAGCCTAAAACCTTGAATTTCTTACAAAGACCAGCTGTAATCTTATGACTAGCAAAGTACAATGTACAGGTAATTTAAATGCACATTATGTTTTAGAAACGAATATTTTTTTAGAAAGGGTGAACATGTTTTGACTTACATACAAAATGCTAAATCACTATAATTGTACCAAATGCCCAAAGCAACAGACGCAAAAGATAGTTCAGGAAAAAGGCCAATGAGTATTTTGAAAACTTGAACATTACACCAAAAATTAAAATCTTTTGAGAAATAAAAGTAAAATCATTTCTGGGGCATAATGAGACTTTAATAGTTTTACATTCACATTAGATATTTTGAGATAAAAATAAGAAACACTATATGATAAATGCACAGATGCAGTGCACATTACGTGTGAGCTAAATTACCTTCTAAATTGTAACAAACGTTAAACTTTCATTTCAACCGATTTTCTGTTTTTATTTTTATCATTTTGGTAACATGCATATTGTAACTTTGCCAACATATATCGTTAGCATGTAATTTCTTAACTGGAGGTCTGAGTATAGAAAATCATCATGGTTTGATAATTCTAGATTACCTTTGTTATAAAGACTACACCAAATGATTTTAAAAGTATTTTGCGGTGTTGGTAGTTTTCTCTCCGGATCACGGTAGTAAGCCACATTGTATTTACCAGAGCAAAGTTCAGCCATTGCATCTTTCCTGAGCAGGCTGGTAATCAGTTTACCAGTACTAGATTTCCTTTACTTTCGCAAGGTACTGACAACTTCTGTACATACCAGAGCAGAGGTACAGTGCCAATGACCGTAGAAATGATTCCATCATCTATCACAATAAAAGTGATCTATACCGTCCGGGAATCAAAGCCAAATGGCCCGATTCACAGTCCAACGCTCTTCCGATTAAGCTAACCGAGCGATGCTTTAAAAGTATTTACACAAATGCAATAGTTATGGTGGATTCACACATATTGGGTACTTTTAAACCTAAGAATGTTGAAGGCATTTATGTTTTGCATACACCACAGTAAAGTTTAAGGCCAACATTTCATGGGGGAAAAACAAGATCAACAATTTAATGAACGCATCTCCCAACACAGGACCAATATCACGGAGCCCAGCAGGACACCAAACAGGACAGGGCAAAGAATAACGGATATGATATTATTATAAAACAGGAAAAACAAGAAACTCAGAATAGTAATGCTAAATACCGTATTTAAGGTCTGTTACAGGTACTAAAGCATTTTTTTTAAAGTTTGCCCAACACTTCCCAGTGCAAATGTTGAAGGTTTGTTCTAATTTTTAATGGACAGTAGTAATAAATATATTCTATCGTAATCGTTAATTAACACTTATATGCATACATGTATAGTAAAATGGATGCTAAAATACATTTTTACTAATGTACGAACCTGGGCTGCGTTTCTCAGAAAGGCCAAAGTGTAGTCTAAGTCATAGGAGATAAAAACAACTTAAGGCCTAACTTAAGACTGTTCGAATAAATGTATTTACCTTCAGTCAAAGGTATGCTACCGTAATCGTAAATTAACACTTACATGTATAGTGAAGTGGATCTTAAAATACATTTTTCCTAATGTACAAAGCTGGTCTGCATTTCTTAAAAAGTCTAAAGTGTCTCCTAAGTCCCAGGACATAAAACAAACTTAAGGAGTAACTAAAGACCGTTCCAATAAATGTTTTACCTTTATTAAAAGTCGGTAGACTATCATTAAATTCATTTTCCTGAGACAAGTTACGAATTACAATAACAGACCCTTTTTATTCACAATGCGTATTTTTTTTGGCTCACCTGTATTGTTATTCAGAAATCAAAAGAGACGTGAAATTGAAGCCATAAACAAGTTAAGACGTTTTCTTTGAAACGCAAAATCATCTATCTTGATCTAAAGACTGATTTCAGACTAAGGACTTTCTACGAAACGCAGCTCTGGCCCCTATTTCTTGTCCTAGAAAACATCTCATAATGACATTACACAGACACGCTTTTACTCAAAAACACACTAGGATTTTACGAATTGTTGTGTTTTATTTTCAAACTTCATGAAATGAAAGTGGCTACTATATCAAATTCATGCTAAAAAGCTCCATTAAGATAATTTAAAACAAGAAATGAACTGTTGATAGACTGCATGCAAAGATCTAACTGATAAATACAAAATTGTATAATTTCGCCTCAGATGAAGTGGCAAAACAGTTTTCTGTTAATGTGTTTGTCAGGTGCATTATGTTTTTGCTTGTTTACATGCAAAACAATTTATCCATTCATGAAACCAATTTTCCGAACTGTTGAAAATGTCCCATTTTCCCCAATTCCACAGATCGTATGCAAATAATACCAGATATATGATAGATATTGCACGGATAAAAACATGGTTACCATTAATCAATTTGTCAGAACTATACAAAAAGTTGTGCAATATGTTGGTAGAATGATTTTTTTCTTAAACATGTTTTACCAAAGTGTTTAAGAAAATAGCATTCACTTTTATAAATTTTCTTGTTAGTACACTCCAGATAGTACTGTTCTTAATGAAAAATTACAACAAAATATCATGATGGTGTATTTCCCGATCTTAAACGAACTCATTAGGCCAAAAAGCCTAAAAAATAAAATTTTAATTTCTTTCAAAGATCAGCTGGGGTATCTAATACAGAAAAGTATGCAATAGTTAATTAAGAAGTATACCCATTAATGGGTTGAAATTTGAATTTTTGTGCTAGTCTTAACCGAATGTGAGTGAAAGGAATGGCATTTATAGGCTCCCTTTTAATATTACAAAGGATTCAAATTTACAATGGTTTCAGTATAAAGTTAATGACAGGATACTGGCAACAAATTATCTTAATGCATATTCTTTTTGCAACAACCATATTGAAACTATAAAACATTTATTTTGGGATTGCCAATTAAGTTCTTCTTTTTGGGAAGATATAAAATCATGGATAAATTCAACATGTACAGATGTTAACACACAGTGGACCTTAACAGATATTATTCTAGGCAATGGACACTTAGATAATGCAACATTGAATTTAATTATGTTGGGAAAGTAAACTCTTTATCGATTCAAATTAAAGAACTCAGTTCCAAGCGTTCAAATTTTTAAAAATTATGTCGCTATTCTTTTGAGAACACAATTACATAGTGCAAAAAAATAGGGTTTCAAAGTTTGACAATTTATGGGGCAAATATATTTCTTTGCTGCCTAATTGAGACTAATGTTATAAGATAATTTATCTCTGTAATGCACCCACTGCCCTTTTGTATCTTTCTTTCTTAAACACCTTGAATGACCTTTGCTCTTAATTTTTACTTATGATAATAATGCATAAAGTATTCATGACAAGAGGTGCAACTCTTAATCGGATATCAATTTTATAATAGTAGGAGTTGTTTCCCTTGAATTAATGACTATCAAGTAATAAGTTCTGAAAATGAATCTTTTTCTAATGTTATATTAAAATAAGTTATTTATTCATAATTAAGGCCCCCACGATTACACGTTTAAACGGATTCGTTTCGATTTTCATTCATAAACGTTTAGGATTTTGTTTACCGTTTAATCGAAATGACCATATTGTCTTACAAAATTTCTTAATCATTGCCTGTAATAATAAACAAACTGAAAATGGGTGTTTACAACCCTCCACACAGCATTACGGTGCAAAATTGCTTGTGACATAATATATAGATTAGGTAAAAAGTGGGATTACAAAGCAAAAAATGTGTGCTGACTCAATCGTGATGAGCCCTGGACATTCTTTATTTGTACATGTATAAAAAATAGAAAGAAAGACATCATTTGGCGACTCAAATACATGGTGTGTATAGTACAAAGAGGTACCACCGTTTAAACGGTATCGTTTCGGTTCTTAGCAATCGTGTAAACGTTCACAAAAAATTGTAAACGTGGGAGCCTTAGTCATAATGCATTAAAATTTTGTCAACTTGGTAAGATGTTTGTTTGTTTATTGTTTCATTTCACGCCTTTTCCCAACAGTATATCAGTCATATAGGCAGGTAGTTTCCTAGCTAAAGATACTTCAGCGAACAGGTTTTATAGTACTGCTAGACCTGTTACTGTCGCAACGTCAAAATAAAAGCGACATATAAAGTTATATGGAAGCCAGAGCTGTAGTTTCCTAACCATCGTTCCTGGAGAGTAACAACAGTACTAGACTACCTTCCTCCGCGCTAAAAATTGAAATAAAAGGTAATTTAACTGCTAAATACATATAATAGATCTGCTGCACTACAAAGTGCACTTATGAAGTGCACACCAAGTGCACTTTGTAGTGCACATCTGGTGCACAAGTAGTGCACTTTGTGTAACCTTTAGTGTGGACTCAACTGTACTATTGGTAAGATACTATTGAATTATTATCTATAAATAAACATTGTAGATTCTTAAAAGAAATCTCTTATTCAGTCCTCCTTAAATGTATATCTCAATATACTGTATGTGTATGCATATATGTTTTGAATTGTGTAAAAAATCTGAAGAAAAAATTTAAAAAAAAAAAATAAAATTTTATCAAACAAAATATTTAGTGATGTTTTGCCTAAAGCTTGAATTACAACCTGAACGACAGTATAATTCAGCGACGCACCGGTTATTTACTTCCGGGCGTGGAAATTTAGATTTTTTTGGATATTTTTTATTTAAACGAATTTGACACGGCATGGAAGCGAAAAGAAAAGCAATGGACGGAGCACTCGTTCCAGTTAAACGTCCTAGAAATGAATTAGTAGCTGTGGGGGATAAGGAAAACTCAATAGTACAGAGTGTAAGGCTTTGAAAGTTTGATTTTTGTAAACAAATAAGTTTTTAGTGGGTGGGGTAATTGACCGGCGAGATAAATTATTTTAATGCATTATTAGTGACATAGATATTTTAGTTCTTCAACTTTGATTACATGCGATTTGATGAAGAAATCACGTTTCCAAGTCTTGTCATTACTTGGATCAACCAAAAGTTTGATAGAATTGTTTTTTGTCATTTTTTGTTGAAAATATGTCTGGATAACTTATATATAACACCCTGATGATATAACATTTTGTACTCTGGCAATGAAAAATAACACAGTGAGTACTTCAAACATTCAACTTTCTCAAAGTCAAACTTATTTAAATTTTTCACTTTATGGAGTTTGTGTGTTTAGCTATTTATTCAAATTTTAGGATGAAGGCATTTACAGCAGAATGATGATTTAATCTTGTTCCTACATTTATAATATGAAAAAAACAAAGCCTCGAAGCGAGCTCGAATTTCTTTTACCGTTAGATAGTTTAAAATAATCGTTCATTTTTAGCTCGACTTTTCTATGAAAAGGGGAGCTATCCTACTGGCGTCGGCGTCGGCGTTGGCGTCACACCTTGGTTAAGTTTTTCGTACCACCCCACTTTATTTCAGAAGTATGACAAGTATGGCTTTGAAACTTACCATACTTGTTCACCATCATAACCTCCATCTACAGACAAGAGTACATAACTCTGTCAAGGTTTTTGACAGAATTATGGCCCTTTTTTGACTTAGAAAGTGTATTGAGCTTGGTTAAGTTTTTTGTACCACCTCACTTTATTTCAAAACCATTGGAGGTATTGCTTTGAAACTGACCATACTTGTTTACCATCACGACCTTCATCAACAGACAAGAGGACATAACTCTGTCAAGGTTTTTGACAGAATTATGCCCCTTTTTGACTTAGAAAATACATTGAAATTGAATATGGGTAAAATCCACTTATTGCCTTAACCCTTTGAGATATTGCTTTGAAACTTTTAATGCTATTTCACATCATTACCCCCATCTGTACGCAAGAGAAGGTAACTCTGTCAAGGATTTGTTTTAAAAATTAAGGCCTTTTATCGACTTAGAATCTTGGTTAAGTTTTTAGTACCAGTCCACTTTTTGACTGAACTGTTTGAGATATTAATTTGAAAGTTGGAATACTTGTTTACAATTCAGTAAAATAATTCTTCACTAAATATCTTAATGCTCATGGCCATTGTTCACTTTAAAAATACAGAGATTCTTGTATTGCCTTTTACTGCAAAAACTTTTTTTATTGGCAAGCAATAAAAAAGTCGAGCGCGCTGTCTTACGGACAGCTCTTGTTATTTTACATTTTCTGTTTAAAAATTGTCATTTGGTATTTTATACACTGCTTCCGTTTATTCTGGTTTGCCCTTTCTATTATGGTTCCTATATAAGTGCGCAGGACACCAGTCTACGCTTCCGTTTTCAATCAGAGTGCATCGGCTTTTATCATTATCTTGTAATTCGAAAAGTTGCGATGTGTCCAATTCGGTACTTTGAACAAAAGTTTTCAAAACCATCACTAAGCAGGTACTCGCGTTACCATAAAGCTCGCTTTGCGAGCAGGGCCAGCTCGTCAAGCTCGCTATTATACTCAATTAAGTGAAACACAAATTGCTTAAAAACAATATATGATGTCATAATGATGAACATTTCACTTTCAGGGTATACAAAGGTTATCAAATCTTGAAGCACCCATTATGTTGCTCACAGGACACGAAGGGGATATATTCTGCTGTAAATTTTCTCCAGATGGAAAGATGTTAGCCTCTGCAGGGTTTGACCGCTTGATTTGTAAGTATTTCATCGGAAGTTCAGAACACTAGTAAAAATTACTTTCTGGCTTTAACCCATATTTTAACCTTTACATTGTAATACTGAAAATACAAATTTCCACTTTTGCAACATCTATACTTATTGAAAGGGATATCTAAGATGTTGAACTTTGGGAGTTAGTAGTGCTTGTTCTGTCCGTCAAAGATTTTTACACTAATGTTGTTGAAGATAAATGTTTATTTATTCAATGGATGGAAAAACAATCTTCTCAGGTACATTACTTATGTATAAAACATTGTATTTGTAAAATGCAATCGAGTCCACTGAGGGATTCTTGTTGTCCAATTTTAGGACTGATAATGGGTCTAACTCCAATTTCAAATGGAAAAACAACACAACTGAAGAAAAAAGTTATTGGCATTTTGTGATATCTCAATTGCCTAGGCCATTAGGCAGATTGCATTTTGTGATATCTCAATTGCCTAGTCCATTAGGCAGATTGCATTTTGTGATATCTCAATTGCCTAGGCCATTAGGCAGATTGCATTTTGTGATATCTCAATTGCCTAGGCCATTAGGCAGATTGCATTTTGCAATTTAAGTTTTAGATTGTGCTTTTCTTATAAATAAAATGTAAATGGAGTTGACTTGATTTCTTTCTTTTATTTGATAAATGTAAATTAAATACAAAGTGATTTTTCCCAATTTTGTCTAAAATTCCCATTAATAAGTTTCCAAAAGGATTAGTTAAACCTTATCCTTGATAAAGGTACAAAATCTAATTTTAAAAATGAAAATGTTAAAATCTGTTCAAATTTTAGGCATGGGCTACATAAATGTTTACTGTTATGCCAAATTTATTCTATACCTGAAATCACATGATTGGCTTTCATATTGAAATCATGTACATGTACATCATATATATATTTAAAATATATAATATTTTTTATTAAAAGATTTCTGGAATGTGTATGGTGATTGTGAGAACTTTGCTGTATTAAAAGGACACTCTGGTGCAATAATGGAAATACAATTCTCAACTGATGGAAGGTAATTTTGTTTAATAGTTTGTTTGTGTATGAAAAGTTCTTTCATATATAATTGGGGTAGAAACTACCAGAGAAACTTGTTTGAGTATTGACCATTGTAGTATTTTGTTTCTTAGAAGGTTATTTTCTACATGTTTTTGTTGTTGTTGTTTTTTTTTTAAACACTTTTATGTTTATTTTGGGAATGTCATAAAGATTCAATGCCTATCTCAATATCTGAAAAAAATAGTGATCAAAGGATTGCTGGGTGTGTGGGTTCAAACCATGTCGGTGGCAAACCATTGTTTTCTTGAGCAAGAAACTACACTTATTGCTTAGTACTGGTTGGTTCCAGGAACTGATTCGAGAGTGTTTCAATAAGCTTATAGCTTCCAACACAAAGTAAAATTCGTATAAACCAATATCTTAGAAAGAACATACATAATCTTAATTATGTTTTCTATTCATATGGTATATGTGACTTAATAATATTAATCTTTAACAAAAAAATACAAAAATATTCAAATAATAATTATATCATTTCAGTTCATTAGTATCAGCAGCCACAGATAAAACATTATCGTTGTGGGACGTGGATGTTGGAACAAGAGTAAAGAAGTTCAAAGGTCATAATAGTTTTGTAAACTGTTGTAATATAGCAAGGCGTGGCCCACAGTTGGTGTGTAGTGGAAGTGACGATGGAACTATAAAGGTATCGAACATGTTAAGGCATAGTGTATAGATTTTTGTTTGAAATTTACAGAAGAAAAATGAAAAGGAGCGTTTTTTGTAATTTGTCTAAAAGTTGATCAGTCAAAAGGGTAAAAATCTTAAGCATGGGTACAAGTTTTCTGGCATTTACCTGAAGTTCAGGTTTTGTATACTCCTGAAAGCACTCTTTTTGTATATATAAACCAGTTGAAATAATACTAAATTCAGGGATTTCAAGTGTTCTGATATTTTTAACTTGTACCCTTGCTTAAGCTTTTGGCTATTTGAAAGAATGGAAACCAAACTTGCAAGTATGGACTTTGAACAGATGCTGTTTTTGTTGTCTTTTACACTTACATAATTTTATGAAACATCAAAATGTCAGTTTAATCAGTAAACAAACTTTAAATCAAAACTTTTTTTGTTTGTTACATCATATTAATAATGTATTGTCTTTTATGAATATGTTTTAAACTTAACAAATAAATAAATTTTTTACTTTAATCCAGCATGCCTCCATATTCATGCTAATTTTCTTGAAAATTATGAAAATGTATTTAAAAAATAAAATATTATGAAGGGAATAAAGAAAGTAATTTAATCATTGAAAACGGCACAGGTCTACAATTCACATAATTTACGAAAGTTAATGAAACTATGCAAAATTGGCCCTTACTGCTTCAGTCACACTGTAGAAATTTAGTGATATATTCTGCAAAATCAGTCATTAAGTGCACACATTGACATAACATGTAAATAATTACTTGAATCTTGAATGTTTTTACTTTTCTTAAAATCTAAGTACGTTTTGCTGAAGTTTGATTTTCTTGAAATATCTTCTTCATCCAGAACCATGCAACTTTAATACACACATGAATTCATTGATTAAACAATTGTTTGTAGTTATGGGATTGTCGGAAGAGAGGGGTATTACAGTCATTTCAAAACACATACCAGGTCACTTCCATCACGTTCTCCGATACAGCTGAACAAATCTTCTCCGGTGGCATAGATAATGATTTAAAGGTAAGATTTTGTAGTATAATTTAGGTAATTATTGTATTACAGACCTTCCATTATAGACCAATTCACTTTAAATATAAAAATTTATAATTATGAATTTATAGTCTAATGTATGTTTGATAGAAAAGAATAAGTGTTAAAGCTATTAATACGCAATATATAATCTTTTTCGAGTGAGACATTAAAAAGGATTGGAGCACCACACTAAATACCGTATTCCTGTATTTAAAGGACAAGTTGAGTGAGACTAAAAAAAGGATTGGAGCACCACACTAAATACCGCATTTCGGTATATACCGGAAAAGGCGCTTGAATGATTAAATGCTTAGATCTTGCCTTTACACCCAATGGCATGAACTTTTAAACGTCTTATTCATTCTCTTCACACCAATTCACATACGATAATGAATGAAAAATGTAAGAATCAGCAAAAAATCCAATATTTGTCTATTTTGTGATCATAATTTCAGTAAGTAAAAGGTGCTTCAACACTGTATTGAGTTAAATCCTCTTTATTCAGGTGTGGGATTTACGGAAGAATGATGTATTATACAGAATGCGAGGACACTCGGACACGGTTACAGGAATGCATCTGTCACCAGATGGGTCATATTTACTAACAAACAGCATGGACAACACAGGTATGCAATATAGGTGGTGTTGTTAGTTTTCACTCCGGATCACGGCAGTAAGGCACATTTAATTTTCCAGAGCGCAGTTCAGTCACTGCATTGTTCCTAGGCAGACTGTCAGGCAGTTTACCAACCAAAATAAACAACTAGTGAATTGTCAAATTCTTTTATACATACAAAGGAAAATATTATTATAGCACTAATATGTTAAAAATTTGTATCAGTTTACATAATGATGATAGAATTATCAGAGATGGCGAGATAGCTCAGCTGGTAAGACCACTGGCTGTCACTCCTAAAGTCCCAGGTTCAATCCTGAGTAACACCCTTGGGATTTTTCAGAGACACTTTCAGTGTTTCCCACCTAACTAGAGGTGTACTGGTAAGAAATCCAAGTAATCCTTGCATGTATCAATGCTATACACTGGGCATGTAAAAGAACCAAGGGGTCTTTTCAATAAGAGCTAGGGACTGGTACCAGGATTCCCTTGTATCTCAAAGCTGTCTCTGAAGTGACTACTCTAGAGTCATGTCTACGTCCCTGCGAGGGCTTTGACATTAATGGAAGATAGATAGAGATTTTTAACTAATCTGAAGCATATATTGAGAATGACCCTAAAATTGGCAGTCAGGGGAGGTAATAATTGCTGTGTGGAAAGCATCTATTGTTTATGAAATATTGTTTCAAGTTTATCTTACATGCTATCAGGGGCCTCCCTGGCTAAGTGGTAATGGTTACTAACTTGCCCCTAAATGCTGTGGGTTCTAATCCTGTCAGGAACATTGAATTTTTTTCTCCTGAGGAATCCAAAGCCATCTAGCTAACATGCAGATGGACGAGGTTTTACTTAGGTACCTGCTTCTGCCAGAAATAATGCACATAGAGGCATCAGAGGTTAACCTCCACCATAAACAGGAATATCTAGCTCCTGGGTAACAGTACAGAGTGTTGTTACCACCATAAACAGTTACCCTCAAGCTAGATATTCCAGTCTGTACCAGCAGCTTATGTAAGTTCCTCTTATATATTGCTTACACAACATTTCAACTGAAAACTGCAGTATGCAACATGATTTCACAGTAATACTAATCATGAAATATTGGTCTTGTAAATATGCTAACAAACTGTTATACACCACTGAATTTCCTCTAGTTCAAATGTGCTTCATTCAGCATAGAAGTAATTTTCCTGGCGTCATTTGGTTAATTAATGTTGTATTTGACGTCATATGGTGTGAAAGCGTCCGTTTTTGCAGTCAATGCGAAAGTCAAAAAAAAATTTCCGGCCACAAGGACTGGGATCCTTAGATTTATTTCCGGTCCTGATGATTTTTCCCCGGCCCGGACTCTGAAAGGTATTTTTTTGTAGGGAGGGATATTGCCATAATTATAAACAAAAATATTTAGAAAATATGAATTATCAGACTCAACTATCAGATACTATGAAAAAAATATACAAAAACATAATAAATAAAAATTTAGTTTAAGTCACAAGAAAACGATATTTTTTTCAAAGGTTGGAGAAAAAATATGTTTTGGTAAGGAAATTATCCACGACAAGATGGTGGCTTACATTTTTTACTTAGCAAAAACTGGTTGTATCTTGCAGTTATTTTGGTTATCTGGGTCTGTGAATACAAGCAAAAATGAAAAAAAAAGATCGATCTTGGAAGTTTTGCATATTTCAGAAGGCCAAAAATTGTTTCAAACTGGCTGAAATTTTATTCGGACATGAGGACTGACTGTAGCGAAATTTATCTCGGCCCTCCTGATTTTTAGTTGGCGAGGTCCGAGGACCGACAGACTTTCGCACAGACTGTTTTTGTAATAATGCAATTGACAGCCCTAACTGTTTGATGGGGGGAATATTAAGAAGCGTACTAGCATTAGAATAAATAAAAGATGTCATTTTACCCTCTTGATCAACATATGTTTGTATTTATATTACAGTTCGTATTTGGGATGTACGACCATTTGCTCCACAAGAAAGGTGTGTTAAGATTATGCAGGGGCATCAACATACATTTGAAAAGGTAAATTTAGAAGACTATCTTGTTAGATCCATGTTTTGATACTTATATTTGTATAATCAGGAAGAATGCAGGTGTGTGTGTTTTTGGCAGCTGTAGAAGATATTTGATTCTAATTTGGGAAAAGAGGTTTATTATTGATAGCGGATTGGGCCCTGTTTAAAATGCAAAAAGCAAAAATTCCCTGTTAAGCTTGATGTTTTTAAAATGACTGAAAAGAAAACTTGGACATCAATCCAAATGCATACATCACTGAGTTTTGTTGCACATTTGAAATGTAATTTTTAAGTTGGGTTGCTAAAACAACACAATAATAGAATCTAAATTTACCTCGGCCATTGGTACATTGTAAAATGAATAAAAAAAATAAACAGAACTAGGCTTCAGCATAAATTTGTAACTGAGAGTTTTCCACTTTAAAAAAAGGGCCAAGCACATTACAGAAAAGTCAATTTGCAAAGTGTAAATTGTCGGGAACAGACACTAAAATTTCATTGGATTTTTTTTTCAGAATCTTTTACGATGTGCATGGGCACCTGATGGTAGTAAAGTGGCGGCAGGATCTGGTGATAGATTTGTATATATCTGGGACACGACGTCCAGGAGAATATTATATAAACTACCAGGACATGCAGGATCTGTTAACGAAATTGACTTCCATCCTGAAGAACCAATTAGTGAGTTTTTTTCTTATTTTATCTATACAATTGAAGCCCTGTTTGTCACCTTAGTGCAATAACTGGCTTAATCCTTTTAAATTTAGAAGGACCTAACCGTTACTGCACTAAGATGAATCTTGTACGTACCAGTACCAGAGTTATATGAGAGGAAAAATGGTCTTTACCTTCTTCAAGTATGAGGAACATTTTTCTTGCCACTAGAACTTTAAGGGGGCATAGATTTGCTTTGTCTGTCTGTCTTTCAGGCTGCCTTTCAGGCTATCAGTCACTAGGTTGACAAAAAAGTGTAATGTGGGAGCTGGACACAATGCTAGTTCATTTTTATGCTTCTGAAGAAAAATTTCTTGTATACTAATCCCACATGATCTCTGAATCTGCCATGAGAGACATATAACCATTGTATCATAATTTGGAGATCATTCTATTAAAAATGTGTCAGAGTTAAATCGTATGCACAGTGCGTTAAATGGAGTGCAGGTTAAAGTTACCCTTACTCCTGTTACCGCACTGTCTGTCAGGAGTAAAAATTTAGTATTCGTATTGATTAGCTACTTATTCTGGGGTTTACTTATTGTGACGATAGGATAGTCACAATCAGATGCTCATTTATTTGATTTACAAGCCCCCCCCCCCGGTATAAATCAGATAACCTTGTGTTTTGATGCTCTTTTTATTACTTAGACTCAATGTCCAAAATCTGTTGTGACAAAGAAATTTTAGCCAAACCAACGAACTCTTCAAATTATAAATCTGATGATCTCCCTATTGAGCTTAGAGTATGGACTGTAAAATATATGAAGAATATTGAAGCCTTTTGATAACATGAATGTTTTTTATGTCTTTTCAGTTGCATCGTGTGGAAGTGACAAAAAGATTTATCTGGGTGAAATAGAATGAGATGGGCACAAAAAATGGACCTAATGACTGTTGTTATATTACGAGAAATGTTGCAAAAAGTATAAAATACATCTTGAGGGCACCTAGTGACAGAGACACTGTCAAAGGGCACTTATATGAAATATATTCAATGCTCAATATTTGTTGTGGTCAGAGAGTGTCTCTACAGTGTGTATTTTGTTTGTGACATAAGCTGGGTTGTAACATTGAAAATAACAATGCTCCAAGGAAGATTCCCAATATAGAACTGGCAGCTGTATTGAAAATTTCCTGTAATTTGTAAAAATGACTTTTTGTTAAGATAGTTCATGTGAAAGGAGGAGTGCTTAGACTTTACCATTACCTTGATTGGTCATTTTTCAGAACATTTCTCTTTCATTAGACTACTTTTATGTTAATATGTGTTTTAAAAATACACATGTTATTGTAATCATGGAAAAATCCTCGTAGTCGTTTCCAGAGGTCATTCATAACTTCACTTTACGCAGAAGTCATTAATATCACTCATCATTTTCAGAAAAAAAAATCATTTAAAAATTAATTTACAGAATAAACATTTATAGAAATTGTTGAAAGATTTAATTAACCATTTACAGAAATCATTGAAAAATTTATTTACTATTTTACAGAATAACCGTTTACAGAAATCATTGAAAAATACATTTACCATTTACAGAAATTATTGACAAATTAGCTGACCTTTGTAAAAATTCATTTACTATTGAAAATTTATTTACAATCAAATTTTTTTTAAGAAAGTTCATTTATCATTATTATTTTACTGTATCATTTGAAACAGTTTTACATTGTGCTTTTTCTCATATGACAAGAAAATTTCACTGTACATGCAGTAGTACTCACTTGTTAAACAAATGCTTGAATGGAAAAAAACAGGAACACTAATGATAAAGAATATATTTTGAAGGAAGAAACAAATTATAATTTATTTTTGAATACAAATACCAGTATATATAAAATTTAAACTGGAAAACTTTGTAATTTATTTTTTAATTAAAGATTTTGCTAATTAAAGATAATCATATGTCTGTCTTAGGTTTATTCTAGAGGAATTTTTTTGTACTGTACATGCATTGAAGTTATTGCAATACTTTTATCATGATACTGTATCATTGTGATATATCTATTTGTGAATTTTTTAAAGTGAGTACATAATTAAAAAGTGGGTAAAAAGAGAGATGTTGTTTGTTATTCTGTTTTCAGGTGTGATATCCACATCATCTCTGCTTTACAGGTGTGGAAATATCCATTTAGCTTATGAAAGGTCAGTGGTTCTACTCGATACTGTAAGAAAAATAAGGCCTTCGTACCCGTTTACTTCTTGCTCAGGGAAAAGTGTTTTAAAACTGTCATCTTGATCATGTTTGTAGCTTACTTTTAAATGCCTAGAATTTAAGTAGAGATATTTATTACCAAATAATTCCTCATTGTATAATCTGTAGTAAAGGTTTGCATGCAAATTCTATCTCAAAACTACTGAGGTGTTCATTTTAAACTTCACATGTTTGTTAGGTCATAATTGTAGGTCCACATCTTAAGGTAGAATTTTAATGAATTATTCCCCTTTCTGGACCAATTTTATAATATTCATGCATGGTACTTCTTTACTATCATTCCAAAGATGAGTTAATCAAACTGTCCTGGACAGCTCTTATGCCCCCACTTAAGGGGAGATGGGATATAGATTTTCCCTTGTTTATCCATGCTGCTTTCACATTGTCCATTCTGTAGATTGATAAAACCGCATGAACATAATTATGTGCCCTATAAACACATTTCTTTTTTTTTCTTTCTTTGTTTTGTGATATTTTATAAGTTCTATTCAGGAAACTAAAATATAATCATTTTGAAAGCCCTCAAACTGGGAACTGACAGTTCTAAATTGGACAGGCACATCAGAATGAACTGGCTAGGTCCATCACACAAAATCATCAGTGCCTGGATTTTTCTACACATAATTAGCAACAAACACATCTCTTTTTTTCCTAGTTTTAATTCAACAAATATAAGAATGTTTATAGTAAAATATCTGATATGTAAATTTAAAATACAAACAAAAACAAGCAACAAATATAGAATAAAGATACATGTATCTGTTTAGTCATACAGAGAAGTTGTGAGTTCATTTGGTTTAAAGATTTTTTCATGAAAATAATCTCTACATAAAAGTTGATATTTTCATTAAAATTTTGATGATATGTTTTATTATTAAAAAAAACATTTTTGAAAAAATTTCTTTTTTGAAAAACTTGAAAAAAAGTTTTGATTAGAAAAGTTAAACATGAAAACAATCTTTTTGAAAATTCAATCAGCTACAAAATTAAAAATAAAATTAAACCCCTTAAATTTCCAAAAATGATAAGATTGGTTTTTATTGTTTGTTTTTTTTTTTTTGGCTTTCAAACACAGATGTTATATGGCGTAAAAAGGGGGAAAAAAATTTTTTGGGGTTTATCTCGGAGAAATAAAAAAATTCAAAGCAACAAACGGGCCCAAAACCCCACCTAAATCTTACTTTCTTTTAACAAAACTTTTTGGCTCGGGAAAAAGTAAAAAAGTTCAAAATAAAAGCAGCATTTAAAATACAGATTAAACTAACTCAACAAAACCAAAAAAAATAAATCTTGAAAACCCCTTAAATAAAAAAAATCAAAACATTAAATTTTTTTGGGAAAACTCGGTGGGGGAATGATAAAAAAAAAATTTTTAAACTTTTCAAAAATTAAAAAAAACCCAAAATTAAAAAAATATTTTTTTAAAAAAAAAATTTTTTTTGCTCTTAGCCATTTTGAGTGAAAAGTTTTTTTTTTTTTTCATTTTTGGGTCATTTTTCACAATACAAATTATTCTGGAAAAGACAGGGTAAGGAATTATCTGAATATTTGCACACAAGTTATTGATCCAGGCCTTTTTCAAATATTACAAATAATCCTGGAAAAATATTTCCAGTCTCATCATGTCGAAAAAACCTAAGTTTTGAAGCATTGAAGAGTATGGCAAATTGAGGACAAGAAATCAGAACATTATAATACAACATTACTGGTTACATTTTAACTGGTACAAGATTTAAAGACAATAAAATACAGGTTCTATATGGAGTAATAACAACATTAACAATTCACCAGGAAATTTCAATAAAATGTAAAATCTGTTTTACCAGAAGCTTATTCTTTTATAAGTTTCACATCACAAAACTTAAGAAAAATCAATAGTAAAGAACCTACAGCAGAGAATGTGAGTTAACAGTTAAATTGTAAATTTAGGTTTATGTAATAATTTTAAAGTTATTTTAAGCATAACTACAGAATCATCATTCTAAAAGTTAACTTTTCTATCTAACTAATTAAGTATAAATAAGAAAAGAAAAGAAAAACATTATGTACTTTGACATTGAATTAGCAAGAGACTAATTCTAAGACACAACAGATTTAATTCCAGAAGTTAAAAAACTTTAACTGGATACCAGTCACAATTTTAAGCATCCGAATCATCTGATTGGATAATTCTGAATATTTAATTCAAATTAACCAATCAATTCACTCGGTTGGTGGACTGGTTTCAAAACTCAAAAGTTACCAGTAAAACCCAAAGGACAACAGGAAAGACAAAATAATACAGAAGGCACAGAGGTTGAGTATTGAGAAAAAATCATTCATATTTTTCCATCTCTTAAAGATATACTATGCTCAAATTTGATATTACAAAATGTTGATAATTGCTACATAGTATTTTTGTAAATGTAAATATGAAAATATCAATAGGGAACACAGATTTCCATACATACCAGTAGTTTATTCATTCTTTTATTAAAATTAGACATATTCAGTAAGAATTTCATAGATTTTAATAAATTTCTGGGAATAATAATACATGTATTTTACTCAAGGATGAGCACAGTATATCTTTAATATCTTTACCATTCAAACCATACATATGTATTAATGTACCAATACTTACACATTAATACGGTACATTGAAGCCTAAGTCATGAATATTTCTGATTTGAAATATAAAATGAAGGTAGAACAATATACACACTTTATTTATGTAAATACTCTTTGAATAGTATTCCTTGATGCATGTGAAGTGGTTAATAAAAGAAATATAAAGCACTGCAGTTATATAACAAAAATTTAAGCCAATCTAAGAAATACTATACATGTATTAGTTTTCAAAAACTTTAGAAAATTTATGCAAGAATGCAACTGTATGCAGAGCATCTATAAGCAGAATTAAAAAAAAAAAAAAAAAAACAAAAAAAAAAAATCATGTTTAGCATATTGATACATTGCACATTTCTATCCTGTCATTTTCTTAAAACAAATTTTGGTCAGCAATAACATATATTTGTTCTATGAATAAATTTTGCTTTTACCAAATACGCAAAAAATATTAACATGACATATAGTTGAATTTTTTTAAAATGGGGAAAAAACTATATAAGTGAAATTTTACTTCAAAAAGGCTGGATGAAAAATAAACAATTTCTAACGGAGTGTTAATTACCATTCATTTAAAATGTATTATACTCACCACCAAAACTTATATTTGAATAATTAATAGCTTAAAGGAACATTATGCCTCACAAATGAATAAATATTTACTTCTTGAGAAAGGTCAAATATATATATTATAACATTTAATTAATGGTTATAGAACATGTTTAATGCTTGTTAACTGAAAAATAGCGCAAAATGTAAAAATACAGATAAGAATAAAGTGTGTCATAAAAGCAACAAAAGTTTAAACAAAACAGTTTTTGACCTCCATACAAATACTTAATCACTATAAATGTACTTATTACCAAAAAAGCAACAGAATAAGAATACAGTTCATGTAATTGGCCATTGAGTACCTTGTTGAAAATTATAAAAGAATATCAAAAATAAAAAGATTTTGAAAAATAAAAATGAATGCATTCTGAGGCAAAATGGCCTTTAAGGTTAATTGGAGGATTATTACAATAAGCAAATCACCTTATTAA